AATCGAGGAGGCAATGATGAAAAAAATGAAAAGTGAAAGTTTATCCGCATATTTATAGAAAGTTTGATAGGATACGTTAAGATGAAATATCAGTGAAAAAAATGAATTTAAAAAACTTCATTGGCGGATCTATTAAAAAAATCATGTATTATAGTGATAAAGTATTATCGATCATCTGCCTCAAATAATCACTATCACCGTTATTAATAAATTTTTCAATCATTAATAATTTATGCGGTTGCATACTACAAATGTGTTATTTCAATATTATTTTATATTTTTGTCTATTTACGTAAAATCTTTCTACGTAAAATAAATTGGAAGATAATTGTCAAACACTACAAGTATATAAATTATAAGTGCAATTAGAATTTTTATAAAATATGTGTATATTTCTAGAACAGTATGAGTTATGATATTTTCAATTATCCAATCAAACTTTGTAAAACAATGACTAAAACATTACACTAAGGATCACTTCTCATAAATTTTCGTTATGCTTTTTGCTTCCTTGTTAGTTTCTAGTGTAACTGTCGCGACTACGTTGCATGGACTTTTTGTATATGAAATATTTAGTTTTCGCTGTTCTTGAAAAACGTTAAAAGGAATCTCTAAACTACAATCAGCTTAAGCACAGAATTTTTGACGCCAAATTTTCTATTTCATTATGTTATTATTTTGTCGTGTCAAAGAAAAAGATATAAGTAAGCGAATATGTGTGGCTCGATTTCTGTTAGAATTGTGATAACAAATGAAAATTTGAAGGCTCAACAACCTTTGCTTAAGCTGTTTTTCTTTGCATCTCATTCATTTACTGGTATATTGGAATCATTAAATTTCGCTTATTTTTATTATTTATATATTATTTTTAATCTTAAGTATATATATATATATTTTTTTTCTTCCTATATTTAATATCTAATTCTCCTTAATAATAATCAATAAGTTGTATTAACGACTCATCATCCAGAATAGCTTTCACATCTATCGATTCCGCACAACAATTCATGAAAATGTGTGTGTGTGTGTTTTTTTTTTAATATATTTTTGCATAAACTAATTTATTAATTATATATTTCAACTGTAAACTTAAATGTATTGTATTTATTTAAATAGTTCTACTATTAGTTAAGTGTAAAAATAATTTCGATTGTCAACGCTGAGCAAAAAATCTTAGCATTAACATGTTTTGTTATTGCGCAAATTACAATACCAATATTATTCGATATACAATATAAATTTTCATGTACAATATTTCATAATATTATTAATTAGTGCTATATTAAAATAGTTATACAATTTTCAAAATTGCATCATAAATTTTAATAAATTGAGTTACGGATTTATTTCAAGTAAAAGTTTGAATAAATGAAAAAAGACGTAAATTTTTTCCTCAGCGCACAAGGATGTAAAGTTATTGTTCATCGAGCAATTCTGGATGACAATCGAATGCATTAACAATAAAATCGAGAACTGCTTTTGGCAGGTGAAGCTCGTTTGATAAAATACGTACAGTTCTTTTTTTCTTTTCGCTTATAAACACTTATCATTACAATTCAGTTTTTATAATTAATTTTTATTTATTATACAATATTCTGTGATGGCTTAGTCCTTATTTCATTGTATTCTGTACAAATATTAATATAGCCTAGTGCTTTTTTGTACAAATTTCTAAAACTCGTCTTATAATTTTTCTTAATGCAATTAATTAAAAAAACAGGCTAAATTTAATTTCTCAGTCACTGATACAATTGTGAAATGAAAAACTAATTAAAATAAATGAACATTAAATTTCTAATAAATCATAGTTTTCTCTTATTATTAAAGTGCATGCATTAATTTAAATAATAAATTTTTCTAAAAATTAATATAATTATGACATATTTATTCTTTAAAGCCATTATCAATGCATTGGTAATCATGAGTTAAAAGTTTTATTTCACCGTAAATAATTTATTAGTTAAGAAATACTTCTTAGTTTTTATTATAATTTTTCCTGACATATTCTATAATTTACTACATATTTATTATAGAAAGTTAGAAAACAATTTTTTTTTATAAAATTGCGTTTTTTACATGCTTATTCTATAACTTCTCAAAAGATTTGAAATTTTTTTATTCTTTCAATGTTAGGAAGTGTGTTAACAGATCAGTGTTATAATAATAGCCGTTTTCCTTTCTATTACTGCTAATTTGATGGTAAAAATTAAATTTCATAAATTTTTCGAGTTGCTGCTTTCGAGTCAGAGATTTATGCGTGTGCTAAGTATTTAATGAATTATCTTTCATTTTTCTTTCATTACGCTTACATTGTAGATCGCAGTTTTCTTTAGCTAATATTCTTATGTATACATTTTTTCCAATTAATATATATTTCATAAATGGCTAAAAGATCGTGGTGAATGGAGTTGCGAATGATTCTGAGCGTTTCTCAATAAAATAAATAGAAACAAAAAAGAGAGCAAAGATTGAAAAAATGGATGAATTAAATCAATTATATTGTTGTATTAAAGTAAAATAAAATAATATTTCATCAATTACTAATACATTAAATCATAGGAGTGAAAGTAGTATAAAATTAGAATATATACTTATTGTATTATAAGCTTAATAATTGAATTTGCTTTATACGAAACATTCTACTTTACTAATTGTAATAAAATCAGTAAATGCATTTCCTCTCGCAATGCTTATTTTAGTGAACTTATTTGCATTATTAAGCCTAATTAGTTTCTATATTTTTAATTATTTACATTATGATTAATTTCATAACAACATTAGTTTGAAACTTCTTCGTTTTTTCTAGTTTTAATAATATTAGAAATGAAAATACTACTTTTTTTTACATTCTAATAATAACTTAGTTGCTAATTTGTTTCCAATTCGTAATTAATTTAAACGTTAATTTAAGAGGTTTTCAGTCGATTATGTTAATTCGAATAGATTGACTTTTTTTTAGAATTTATATCAATACATAATAATTTATACACGTTTATATGATTTATGGAGAAAAATTTCAATATTAAATAAAAAATTCTTAAGGAAAAAACTTTAAATCATTCGTAATTGATAACAATTTGTATTAAGTATAATTATGTAAATTGTATAAAAGATATTATTATATTTTTTTAATATTAGGAACATAACATAAAATTCGAATTTTTAATAATTACTAGATCAACAGTATGATTTAGCAATATGACATTTAATTTTTACAACTGAATGGTTTTAAGGAATTTAGGGAATAAGAATTCATGTACTCGTTCATTACTTATAATAAGAATGTACTTTTAAAAAATTACTTCACTTAAAACTTAATTGTGTTATTGATTTTGTAACTTTTCAATAATAAATACCAACATTATGTATCGATTTAACTTGGTATAAATTGGATGTTGAAAGTTCATTTTGTATTCGTATAAAAAGTCATACAATCTATTCAAAAAATAGTCTTTGCCCATTCATAAAACAGTTCGAATGAACTTTTAAGAGTCGAAAAATATTTCTTGGTCGCTGATTAGCTGATGCGGTATTTTTAAAATTTTGTACAAACTTACCGATTGCTAAAAATTTTACATAAATTGAAGTAACATAATTAGTCGTAAGTCAATAGAAACTTTATTATATAAACTTAAAATTAAATGTGTTATTATTTCTTATACATTGTAAGTGAAGGAGATACTTTTAAAAATGTAAAATATCAACAAAATCTATTTACAAATATAGTATATATGGTATATTATTTTATAAAAGCATCTTTAAAAATTATTTTGCAATGGAAATGGGAATCTTTATATATATATATATATATATATATATATAGATTTATATATTTATTGAGAAATAAAACAGATTTAATCTTACAGAAGCAATATTATTATTATGAAAAAATATTATTTTGAAATTATTACTTAAAAAAATTAACATATTATGTATTAATTGTTGTTAAATAAGTAGTGTTTGAAATACTTTTATTGTTTTATTATTGTTATTTTCATTTTACTTTTCTCGATGAATTAACAGAAATTAAATATTAAGTTCGTCGTAATTGAAATTATTGTACGTTGAAAATTTTTTATCGGTTTTCAATACAAAAATTTACTTTTGTTTGTGAATTTTAAAATGACGTATAAAATGATTTTACAATTATTGCTGATACTACTTTTGTAATAGTAATGCCATGGAAGTGAATTAATTTTTCTTTTTGAGGTATATTACTTTGATTTCATCATTGTGAAAAATGCCAGTTAAAGCTTATCCGGTATGTAATCTATAGGATTTTAAATATGTAATATTTTATAATTGTGCACAATGGAAATTGTATTATTTGCAATTAACATACTTTAACGTAAATTCCATTTATTATTGAAATAAGTGGAACAATTTATTTATCGATTAACCATATGGGTGATATTTATCATTGTTTTAATTTATTTTTCATTATATTGTAAACCAAACAATAGATTCGGTGATTCGTAAAAATAATTTTTTTAACTATGTATGAAATATAAAAATATTCCTACGCTTTAACAATAAAAGTAAGAAATTTTCCACTGATTTTATTCCATTTATTCTGAATATCCCATGGTTATTAAATTAAAACAAAAACAAAAACAAAACCAAAAAAAAAAAAAATACTTCGAGGCTATTTATCTTATTAATAAATAATATTTTAACGAAGCTTCCAATTTTTATATCTTTCAAAATATATTTTCGCGTAATGTGGGTTAAAAATTTCCTGCATCCTATACAAAGCAATTTTAAAATAAAAATATAGCTTCGTTGAACCATAAAGTATCTGACAATCGTCTAGAAGCCATAACTTATAAACGTAATAAAGTTCGATTTCTGCTTTAGGGTTGCCTATGTAAATAAAAATCTTTCCCAGTGTATTTCCTTTCCTTGACAAGATATTTCACGAAATGAAAATGAATAACCACACATTACAAATCACGTACGCACATATAGAAGCGTCTGCGCGGCCGCGCGGGCGCGCGTGCCCTTGTGTGCGAGCGTGAGTTTGTTTACGCGGGCGTGCTTGTATGTATGCGCAAATCATACATAGGTGATCAATCGCAATTCGCTCGACTAGTTGCCACATTTCCCCGCGACAAGGAGGCTACGCTATTTACAGATTAAGTAAGTAGGCATTAATCGTTGTTGGATCAAGTTTGCGGCGCGTTGAGATGTGTGCCAGCGTCGTGGAGGGGCAGGAGTATGAGTATCAGCAGGCCGGTTAGCGCCGTTCCGGCGACGCCGGGCGTCGAGGCGCCAGCCATGGCGACTTTACTATTAGATACCGCTGAGCTCTTATTGCGAGATTTTGTTGAATTCGCGCTGCTACGCCATTTCAGAACGTACTGTGGTGCTGTCCTCCCCAGTGCTTGCAATCTGTCGATAAAGTACTTGCTTTAATAGGCTGCTCGATTGAATATCTTTGAGTTAGTGGGGTGGAGGGATGAGGGATGAGCTGTGAGCAATGGCTTTTTGCCGATTAAATGAAGTAGCTTGAATTTTAAAATGTCCCGTCGTTAAAAGCACTCACAATAAATAAGTTTCGCAGTTATTGTATTGCAAATAAGCCAATAGAGGATTTATTATTCTATAAATTCAATTTTAACATGGGCAAAATATTCGTCTGTATATCTCATATAAGTTTGCATTATCCTTGTAAACAGGATAGTTAAAGAATTTTCATTACCAGCTTCATTGTATTATTAATTTTTAATCGCGATGACAAAGTACGAATTTAAAGTATATGTCTTTAATAATATTTCGTGTACTACTTTTGATTCAATTTGAATAATAATCTTAATTTTACGCTCGTATATATGTATAAGCATGTTTTACGATTTTTAATTAACCTTATATTCAAACATTTTAATATCAACGTTAATATGCAAAATATTTGTTCAAAAATTCATTTCTGTATTAAAGAGTGATGGAATGTTTTTGATAGTTTTAGATATTAAATAAAAATCTGCTTATTCTTGTTAAAGTTTAATTATTATGAAAATTAGCGGAAATAAAAATTGTAAATAATGTATATTAATGATAATCGTTTTTATTTCATAACATTGGTAATCCAAACTTGTACTCAAGTATTTTTACAATAATTTAGAAAATATTTTCAATATACGTGCAACTCGCATACGTTGTGGCTGCATATCTAGTCGGAAAACCCGAACGTCATCCGTTGTCGTCATCTCGGGAAAAGTCCAATGATTTTCGGAGGTTTGACAAATTTTTTAAGTATGCGACTACAGGGAGGCGCCACGCTCTCTAATCGAAGAAGCGAGAAGAGAGAGGCGCTCTCGCCGATGTCGCCGCTGCCAAGGTCAAGGTCTCTGTGATGACGGAAGACTGAGGTGCGCTTTGATTGGAGAGACCTAAGGGAGAGGCGTCCCCTAAGTGGGGACTCTTGGTCGGAGGCTTTATAAGTGGGGACGACGACACGGACACAAGCGCTGTCCAAGTGGAGAAGCCAAGGAAGAAGGAGGCGGCCCTTTACCGTTGATACTACAGTGATCAAGCTGTAAGTATGGCCACGATGGAAGGAAGATGCGTCAATTCTCCTGTGCCGCAAATAAAAGCTGTTTACTCTATCTCTTGTATATTAAGAAAACGCCAAACTACACAAGACACACTCCCTAATAAGGAGTGTGATTAATCATTGCTGATAAGCAATAATAATGATTCATCACTATCGACAAGGAGCATTCCGAATGTGATGGTATACTACACAGTATCACAGTATCAGATCAAGGCTACTGCATCTCTGTCAGTAAACAAGGTCTATGCATACTTAATTGCTAATCCTTACAAAATTAGCAAGCTATTATTACATAGTGTTCGGTATTCCACTCGGACGGTAGTCGAAGGACCAAGATAGTAGACAAGATAGTAGACATATCAACCATTTTATTGGTCGAACAGCGTGAATAAGTGAGAGGTTAATGCTTCGATTCAGTAATCAATACACATTGCTTTTCGTGCTATTTATTGACTTTTAATTTAAAAATACACAATTCTGATTCTACGCTGGTGGTGAGAATCGTTGAGATTTTCCTCTTCTTTAGTGGTTGTTTTTTTTTTTTTTTTTTTTTCTTTTCACGTGGAGGTAACATGTACTGCAAATCGAGGTTGGAGGTTGTAAATCTCCGGGTCCTTGTGGTGTAGAGCGTTTGGTAGATAATTACTACACTGAGAAGTGAGAGGTCGTAAATCTCTGGACACTCCTTGTATATTGCCATGTATGGTGTTTTAAGTAGTACGAGTATCCTATTGCTGACTAAATCAAATCATTCAATACTTCAGTGTATCTTGGTAGTGCGCGCAGTGACACTTATCGAAATTTAGCGGACATTGGTGCCTCGATCCAGAATACATTACAGAATGCAGTGACTTCTTGATCCAGAATTAATACCCAAGTTTTGGCGCCTTAATTCAGAAAGCAGTACAGAATGTAGTGGGGTCTTGCAGTACAGCGTGTGTCTCCTGTTAGTTGACTCAAGCAAGTGCACGAGCTTCGACGAGTTTGATTATCTGGCAACATTGTACAGGTGTTGCTATGCGGAGAATTGTACAGGGCTTGGAGACTAAAGCTTTAGAAGTTTCGAGATTTGTAGGAAAGCAAGCTTTAGGCGATTAGAGAATTTAACGGTCGTTGTAATGCGGAGACTAGATAAACATTACAGTACGTTCGCAAGCAAAGGCTTTAAAAAAGATCGAGAAATTTCGGAATCAATAAACAATTTGGTAATCTTTAATTTGTTTAAGGCGTAATGCATTAGTTTCGATAGGAGCAGTGCTGCAGCTAGTTCCAATCGTGGTATGGTCATTCCTTACTGACCATATTTCGTAGTCGTGGTCGTGGCAAATAACGATGTCGTGGAATGAATCGATGTTAGTGACGAGTGGTGGTCTTTGTAGTAACTTTTGCATTTTATGGATCTTTTACAGAGGCCCATGCGGTCCCTTAAACAAGTGCAGCAAATTTCGCGGCTTCTTAATACATTGTGTCTTTCTAATGCTGACATTCCTTTGAATTTTAAGCACATAGTAAGCTAATATTTTTCAGGGCATTATTTTCACTCAATTGGTTGTGTACGACCCTGTAGATTGAGTTAACTGTGAATTTTTTACTGATACGTGGTAGGAGTTTGACGTTCCCTTAGTTGACGTGGTTCGGGGCCGTGCTCGTCTGAGATGACGCTGTGTCGTGGCTCTAGGATGTTCCGTTTCTTGGTACATCTCATACGGCGCCTTCATTCGAGACGTTAGAAACTCTTGCAATTTTTCAATACGTCTGAATGAAGTGCAAGAGCTAATCGATGACTCCCACAATTCCTTTGTGACAGGATCGGACCGACGAGAGGTGAAGTATACAGATACGTAGCCCAACAGATCTTCTGCTATTCGCAATGCTTTTAGTTATTTCATTGCCTCTTCGATTCTGTTGATTAGTTGCTCCAACTCGGCTTTCTCCCCTTTAATTTTGTTTAAATTGGGGAACGCCCGTCTGAAATATGATTGAATAATCAAACGCTTGTTATAATGCCGGGCTGTTAGGAATTCCCAAGCCGGAGCAAAGGAGTCGGCTGTCATTGGGAGTTCAGAAATCAATTGCACTGCTGGGCCTTGCACTGCGGTGTAGAGCCGATGCATTTTCTCCGCATCGCTGGTCTCATCGTTATCCAAGACCAATGCCTCGAAAAGTTTATGATACTCCTGCCAGTCCTCTTCGATTTTCGGAAAACTTGGAAAGACTAACGCGTGGGAGTCGGCCTCCTTGTGCTTGTGCCTTGATTGGTGAGACTTCTCTTATATAATGCGAATTCTTTCTTATATGCATTTTTCACCAGGTAATCGTGATGGAAAATAGTAGCTGTCCAGTTCGCGATCATGCGTGCATGATGCTTTTTGAAGGCCGGGTGCAGCACCTCCATGTGGGAAATTGCATCTGAGATTTCATCTCAGGTCTAATGCTAAGCTGTAATGTCTTGCGTTCCTCAGGCAAGTTCTTCATTAATGCGATGCGCGATCATTGAATTTTCACCATTATTTCAAGCTCAGCGTGAAGGTGTGTTGGAGAAGCGCTTCCGAGTGTTAATCACTTAGGAGTCTTATTGCCCTTACCTTTCAGTTATTCTAATGCATAGTCATTGCCAGTTCTTACGAGACCGGAATTATAACTATTATAACATATCACAACACGCATTAACTAATAATAAGGAGTGTGCCCACTCAGTTGTTGATCCTTACGAGATCAAAACAACATCGACATCTCAAGGAGCATCTCGAGAAGACAACTTGTTTCAACGGAAGATCAGTTACAAGCAACTGCAACGACGTGACTGAATATAGTGTATACCTTTCCATAACACATAAATCCAACAAAACAATAGTGTAATTGTAAATAAATCATATTTTAACGAATAAGCGCATATTGTATTTCTTCCACTTGACTCCTTCACAAGCATCCGCTAGGGTGGACGGCAATTTATTATATATCTATTTTATTATATATATATATTTATTATATAATATTATAAAGCTATCGAAACATTTTCAGTTCGAGCCAAGAGATCAAACAGTTTCGAAAAATATAAAATGATGTTCCCTCGACTATTGCAGCCGATAATCTAGTAGAATTTCATTTTAAACGCTACCGTAAGAGTAATTGTTCCGTCTTATCTGACATTGAATCGATAGTAAGATAATGTTTTTACAATCACTCTACAAAAGATCTGAATCAAGAAGAGTAAGTAACAGGAGATTTTAAATACTATACGATTGAACATTAATAAATCATTTAATGTACATCAATGAAATTAGTATTAATTGATATTAAGATGTCGCTTTAATTATATCGCGATTGAATTAAATCATTACACGAAGCGAAATAAATGTGAAAGTTGCATTTTATTAATAAATATAAATCGCTTATATTTTTTAAGTATTATATTTAACGATAGCATTATTAAAAGAAGGAAAAAAATTTTTATACGAAAGTATGGTAATGCGTGAGAATAATATAACGACAATATCGCTCTATAAAATGTAATGTCAAAAGTAATTGATTAGAAAATTAAACGAGCACAAGAGACTCTAGATAAAATTTATTTGTTTGTTTTTTTTTTTTTTTTTTTTTTTTTTTTTTTTTTTTTTTTTTTTTAATATAATCGGTTTGTACGACAAAGCAATATGTAATATTTTTTTCAATAGAGTAACGTAATATTTGCGAATATTCATTTTTACATTAAACGACATCAATACTTTATTCCACTTTATTCTTATAAATTTGAACATTTACTATAAATTCTATTAAGCTCAAGCTTATTGTAAAATTTGAAAATCACCTCGTTATATGTACGTAACACGTTTATTCGAGCTAATTTTACTAAATGTTTCAAACGTTCCTTTGAACATCATAAGACTGTATATAAAATATGAACTATGCTATATAGATTTTGTAATACGCTTTATGGGGTATATAAAATCAACTTTAATTACTTAATAAATTAAATAAATAAATAATAATAATAATAATAATAATAATAATAATAATTAAAAAAAAAACACTCTTACGCATCTCTCTATAAGTATTGTAATTACAAATAAAACAATGAACTTACTTTACTATGACAGACCGTATATCTTGAGATACGGTGAAATTTCTCGCTATATCTCGGGGACAAAATGTATGCAACCTCGGCCCCTCGGAATTTCCATTGGTCTTATTATATTCGTGCACTGTCAGATTCCAAGCTGTACATGGTCCTATTAAAAACGCACATTGATAATGAAATATACGCTTTACATTGGAATCGAATGTTTTGTATTTGGAATAATTTTTGCCTGTAAGAGGATATTTTATAGAGGATATTTTATAAAAAAAAAAAAAAGTTTGAAATATAATTTTTTTTTTTATAAAAGCTGATAACGGATGATTGACGAAAGACGGAACTTTATCTTATTTTCAGGGAGCGTATTAAACTTATTACGATTAAGATAAATGTTGACGTTAAGAATAATTGACGATAATAGAATATCGGTATTTCATGGATAAAATGAGAAGAACAGTATGAAAGAATTTTTTATTTTATGACGCTGGGTCAATTTACTTTGGAAAAGTTGTTGAATTGCATAAGGCGACAAAGTTGTAACTGGACTTGATTTCGAGTAAAAAATTTATTTGCCGATTAATTATGTAATTGAGCACACTGGACGTCACTTAATCGGAACTTCTTACTGTAGAAGAAAAAAAAATCGAACAAATTATAAGATATCAAATATTAAAATATAAATTTATATGTAAAACATAGTTCACTTACACTGAATTACTCATTGTTATTTGAATAGAAAAATACATTTTCGAGTAAAAAGTTTGAATAATATTCTTCTCATTATCATGTCGTACGATAATTCTAAAAATTACGACAATATGTTATCGATGCATGAAAATATAAATTTTTCTTAGCTTATTATTAAATAAACAATAAATTACCTTCTTTTCTTTCTTAGTGGTAGTAGCATGTTAATTTGCCATTTGATAATTTACAATATGGAGGTATTTTTAGATTTTCTATTGATTCACAAAGCTGATCAGAACATGTACATTAAAATAGAAATAAACAGGCGAAGGAATAATTTGCAAGTTTTAAATTAAAAAGCCTTTTAAAAATAAGGCTTTTGCATCGATAAGTTATAAATAACAATGAAAAAAAAAAAAAAAAAAAACAGTTTGTCCAATCATTATTTATAAAAACCTTTTTGAAAACGACCTTCGTGCGCATAAAGTATTCAAAATAGCTCTCTTATTCTTCTATTTTGAAATTCAGTATGAATGTATTTTCTAGCGTGAAGTGATGTTTCGTAACATCAAACCAGGCGGAAATCATTGGAGAACCAAAACATCTGTTAACTTTTATTTCCATTTCTTTCGTTTCAGACTGAGGAGCTCTCATTTTGTTTTTTGTAATATAGCTGAGTTGGTTATAAGTAAATCCTTTAAGCTTTAATACACCGACCAAGTTTTTGTCGGGATTACGTTTTCTTTGTTCTTTAATTTTTGTATTATTCTTATTTCATTTAACGTAGAATATAAAAAACGAAACAAAAAAAAAAAAAAAACAAAAAAAAAAAAAAAAAAAAACTAAAAGGTGTAAATAACAATTTTTCGTTAACGGTCGAATAGCCGCGTAATAATAACGCTTGCCAAATATATTTACGCTTTACTAAATAAAATTGAAACATTCGTCTCTATGCATTTATTTATGTATGCTTTTTCTTTAATTTACAAATGATTTATCATAATGTACAGTTTTCACATATACAATACAATTAATCTATAATTTATGATATTTCACATTAGGACACTAAGGTGAACGTTTAATCAAATTTTTATCACAATACATGTTAATTAATTGTTGAATTGTAGATATACGAATTTTCCCCATATATGTCCTAGAAAGTCAAATAATTTTTTGTTGTTGTTCGACAATTGCTCTTTTCTTCCTTCAGATAAAAGGTAAAAAAAAAAAGAAAAAAAGAAAAAGAAAAAATCCGTAAATATACATTCATTAATTTGTTGTTTCTTTCATTGCATACTACAGGAAATAATTATTTTAATGAAAGAAGATATGTGGATTTAATCAGTTGGAAATCCAACTGGAGCATCGATGTAAACTTTCAAGCTTATGCGCTTCTTTTTTCAAATAGTCATAAAGCGCTTTGTATCGCATTTTAAGTCAACCAAAATATTTTTATCATCTGTATAATCTCATTGTTCTTTGAAGTTCATTGTATAGATTTTTCTTTGAATTTCTACAAAAGATACATTTTAGTTATATTGCGATTGGAGGCGCTTTGGAATAAAGAATCTCAAATTGTTCTTATAAATTTGACGATGCATCTCTTTATATATCTCATTGTGTCTGTGTGCGCGCGCGCGCGCCAGTGAATGCAATATTTATCACTTGATTTATAATTGCTATTACTATTATGTTCTTTAAAACTTTAAAGTGTTATCGAAATTATATAATTTACTTAACAAATGTCCTATCTTTTGCATTGCTCCTGTTAAAGATTCAATGCTAGCTTTAATGAATTTGATGTACAGATTTTCATCTCGAGCCACTTTGTTTTTAACTACAAGAATTTCATTGGAGATGAATTTTTTTTTTTTTTTTTATTTCATCTATTGTTAAAAAATTATAGCATCTGATAAAATTGGAAGGATGCCAAAATAGAAGCAAAAATAAGATTAACATCAAAATTTTACGGCACGTGTATGTCAATAGTACATAAAAATTCTGTTGATGCTATTATGCTGGTTTTTTAATACGTTGGATTTACCGACGCATATAAATAATTGCTTGAATATATAATTTTTATATAGATAACTTTTAAAAATAAAACTTATTCAATACAGTGATAATAATTGGCTTTACCTTTTATTTTTATATATATTTTTTTTAATTTTAAAAGCGAAAGCGCCATACGCTTGTTTCAGTCAATTATGAATATATATTTATACAGCATCGGCGGACATATTTAATTCACATTAATAATACATGTTTAATTGAATATATCTTTAAAGACATCATATTTTATTGCTTTTATATTTATGTTGAAAAGTAAAGCTGGAACATTTAGTATTTTAATTATAACGTATAAGTTAAGAGAACTTAATAATTAGACTATTTTTAGTATAGGAATTTCACATACGAAGCTAATAAGTCTCGAAAGTGGTAAGAAAAGATTGACGGTAAATGGAAATAGCAAAAGTAAAATCGTCAGTGAATATCGATCTTTTAGATTAAAAACACGATAGCGATGAAAATTCGAAATAATAGTCAATAAGCTGTTCCATCGCATTGTATAATTGCGTGTGTAGTACAACGAAATATTTTGGCGGCCTTTTTGGTCTCGCATCTTCCATCTTGGTCTTGTGGCTCGAATATTTGGCATGGGCGAGCGCGCACATGTTCTCACGTCATACGCAACACCTTTGTGAATTGACGATCAGCTAGTTTTTCGTTTTGCCGAAGGGAGTAAGGAATCCCATTTTCGTCGATATTGTCGTCCTCGTTTGATATCTTCTTGCGCACAGACGCGCAACAGCCGTTGTTCATGTTCAAAGGCTTTTTCAGGTGGATCGAGGCGTATGAATGACGAGGTGCGTTCCCATTCTTTCTTCAACAATGCGAGCGAGTGATTGGAGAGTGCCAATCTGGTCACGCGGTCATACGTTATCGTATCCCTCAAGTTCCTTTATCTCGCCTGTGTAAGACATCTACAGGTAGTCCCATCCATGGCTTTATTACCCAACAAATTCATATATTTATTGTTGATATAGTATCAACTATTTTTATTACTCTATATCTATTAGATGCATTGTTGTGAGTCTTTCGCCTCGTTTAATCCCCCGAATCTTCAATCTGTTTCGATTAGATTAAATCTCATCCGACTCTGTATGTTAAATACACAGAGGCTTATCTTCATTCACAAACAGCAATAGTTCATTTAATAATTAATGCTGCCCGAATTTTACGGCATTTTAAGACGAATTATTAAGAAAAATTCAGTACGAATTAGTCGTTATCAATTAATGGATGCTCTTTTGTTAATTGCAATTGTTAGGCGTTAAATTTAAAAAAATTATTTATATAATTATAAATTCCAAGGCAAAATGTCGATTAAAAATATATTATGAATAATATATTTTCGTTGTATTATAGGGTACTTTAATATTTTTGGCACACAAAAATCATCATCTCTATTGTTATTGACACTATTATTTTTATTGTTTACATTTGCCTTTATTCATGCGTAGTTCACATTTTAACACTCCTAACACTCTGATCGTTATTATGTGTAGAAGATAATTAGAAATGTTTCAACGCAATTTTGTTTGTTTTGTTTTGTTATTTGTTTTTATCTCGTCGTAACAATGAAAATATAATCAATTAATTACTAAAGGCATTTGAAATTGAAATATAAATTGAATATAAGTACGAGGTTTACAACGGATACAATTATAACAATGATTTTACAGTTGGCAGCAGCTGTGTCGGTGATCAACTACGAATGTATAAGCGCGTCGGTCATCCGGGGATCCCTTCCTCGCCCAGTGAATTGCGATAATAATATTGTAATATAGAAATATATGTGACATGCGGTGACTAGTTGCGGAGCTCAAAAGTGCCTCTCGTTCACAAGAAATCGTAATTATTTTAATACTTGAAAATAATGTTAGACGACTATATTCGAATTGAATACGTGAAAGGCTCATTACAATGATATAATGGTGATTATAGCTTGAAATAATGGTATTGTATGTTATTAAATAAATGTAAATTGCATAATACTATTATTATCATAAAAATAATTTTATATTATATCCTTTTATATTATAGGAGCATAATTATTCTGGTCAAAAACGAGTAAAAATCAACTTAATGTAAGAAATTTAAAAACTTGTAATCGTGACTCTCTTATATAAAAACGGAGATTTTTTTTTATTATTTAAATATGAAAATTGACGTAAATGTCACACCTCAATTTTCATTTTCGTATTAACGAAATATTTTATTAATGCATTCGTTTGAAAATAAATAATGCTAGATAAAGCAATTGCAATAGTAGTAATTGATCGTTATATGACATTTATTGAAATGGGATCCTCGTATTAATGTGAAAATTATACGAAGAATACGTCGTAGTTGAATTACCGTCTGAGTATCATACAAATGAAATTTATAAATTTTTCTCTCCTCGTCTTTTCTCATCTTTTCTCGTCTTTTAATAACCAAGGTCTTTTAAAGGTCAACAATGTGATGTTGAGAAGATGGTTAAAGAGTTTTGAAAATTACAAAAATGTATTTATTAATTAATATACGAAATTATAATGTCCAGCCACGTAATTATTATTATTAATTTTCAATTCATGTAATATTTATCGTTCAAAGCTTTTACTTAACCCCGCAACAAACAATAAATAATAATGATATTAATAATTCATAACAATGCCCTACAATAGTAATTTGTTATAAATACTTTTTTTTTACTTGGATGATTATATCGGGCGAAGCCCATTAACGTTGAAGAAATATCACGCAATCGAGCTCATTAAGTTACAATCTCTACTTAAAAGTGACGGTTGCTTAAATACATAATTAAATACACTGTAGGTAAATACTGAATAAAAAGGTGAACAAAAAAGAGAAAAGACCGAAAGTGAAATTGCTTGGCGAATAAAAGTCGCAACTACGATGCTGTCAACGCGAGGTGAATAAATTTTCCTCCCTCTTTCTTGGCACGAAGCTGCAGCCTATAAATTGTCCATATAAATTGTCAAAAAAAAAAAAAAAAAAACAAACCTTGCGCTTTCGACACAAATCTCGCGATGCAAGTTCGCAGGAACAATAGAAATCGCTATACAAGGGAATAAAGAAAGGGAACTCACGTGTTTGCGAGGATTCGATGAGTATGGCGAGCTCGCGATTCGCCGGCGAGTCGATAATGTAAGTGCACTTTTGCTGGTAATAATGATTGAGAGCGAAGCTGAAGTTGGCCGAGTAGCCGGCGTGGATCTCACCCTCGAGCTTCTCCACATTGTGGCTGCCGCAGAAGCTGTCTTTCGCGAACTTGTACTCGGCGGTGAGATTCAGTCCCGCGTGGCTTGATCTCGACCACTCGATGTATACGGGCGTCGTACTCCAGAATTCCACCGGCAACCAATCCTGTATGCATTTATGTTTACTTGTTGTTGTTCTTGTTGTTGGGGAAGAATTATTGTAGCGATATTGGGATTACTTTCTTCGAATTGAAAATTCATTTCATTTTATCGCAAACTCCTGGCTAATGTTATTAAGACAGGAGATGGCCTTATAAATATATATATATATATATATATATATATGGTGTTGATTGGTTTGTGTATGCATGCATTTTTTAAGCGTTAATAATGTGTGTGCGCGTGTATGTGCATGTATGGGAGAGTTGGAGGAACTTATCTTAAATTTCACGATAGCTCCCAACGTTAAAATCGCGACGGATTATAAGAGGGATTCGTTTTAAGCCGATGAGATGAAAATTATATTTTTACATTATTACGGAGGACCATGCACTTTATATTGATTTTTGCCACACTATTCAGTATTCTTCCCCTTAAGTTCTTATCGTTATATATCTGGCACATTTGAGAAATTATGTAAGCCGATTTGCAGTCGCTTGAAGATTAGTTGCGCAAGGGCCAATACTCTACTGGAAAGCGATTTCTCAAGTATGTGTATGCATAGTGATTCAGGTATTTATATATTTCAGCACGCGAAGAGATAATTAGATATGCATCGTAGCTCAATTTTGCACATGTTGTATGTATACATGTGGTTTATTACAAGATAGACGTAGCCTATATGTAGCGAATATTTTATTCAAAAGTTCCTTGTTTTTAATGGAGTTTGAACTTTTTTTTTTTTTATTTGTTTTGTTTTTTTTTTCTTTAACTATTCGTTACCCACAGAAATTGCAAGTATTTTTTAATTACGGTTTTTTTTCACTCCCATGTCGCGAGACAGGTGCAATCAATTTTTATTAGAAAGTGGATGCATTAAAATTTATGATTATTTTGGGCTACTAATGCAGCGAGTAAAATCACACGCGTTGCAAATATTCATATTTTTTAATTTAATTGCTTTAGATTATATCGCAATGAAATTAAATTCTATTTTTTTTATTTCCGTTTGTAAGAGATTTCGTTATTTTTTTTTATAAATACTTGTGAGAAATTTAAGCAAATGTCGAGTTACAGTTTATTCTTACTTACAAAAAGTCCTACTTATTAATATCCCACCAAGGCTATATGTATATATATATATATGTGTGTGTGTGTGTGTGCGTGTGTGGGTGCGCGCGCGCGCGCGTGTGTATTTGTACAATAACTTATGTAAATGTTTGGATGAGCAAGCGAGCCATTTATATTGCTCAGTGCTATCGAAAATTGTAGGAATAATCGAAATTATTCTTTGCCTTTAGAGGGAGTTTCGAAAAATCTAGTGTCAAAATGAAAATGTATACTGGCGCCGAGGTGTAAAAATAATGAAAGCCGGTAACGAAAAGGTAGGAAAATATTTGGCGGTCAAAAATGAAAAGTCGGAGATTGGCCGGCTTGTACTCTCCTAGCGAAAATAGAAAATCGAGGCGACCTACGTCCCCGCGTACCGACTCACCTGGCTATTTCCACAGAGACACGCCAGCGTGTTTCCATGGGGTCGCGAGACAAGGAGTAGATGATCGATGTTGTCCAATGATTCATTGCTCGCGCAGCGGCAGCCCTGGTCACCGCATTGCGTCGTGCAGTGGCTGCTGTACGTCTGGTTCATCGTGCTGTTCAGCTGGTTTTCGTCAATGTTCAGCCCACCAAAACAAACAAACGTACTCGAAATTACTCTCCCCATTGCCAAGCGCGCGTGCTTTCGCCGGCTTTTTTCACTCCCCGCCCCCCAACTCCCTGCCCGTTATTTCATGCTCGGGCAAGGGTGTCCAAAGGAATGTTTATTAATGTTCGTCCTCTACTACGGCCTCTTTATTAAGAGAGCTTGGGCATAGTTGTTTGTTGATGCAAATTTCTTGCCGATTGTTCGTGCATTTGTGTATTGTTGTGTGATGACGAACGATGGCTCTCTGTCATTTTGTTTACCTTTCGTTTCAGCTTTCGATAATTTCCGAAACGTTTCCTTCGTTAAATGCCCCAAAAAAATTCGATTTTATAATTTCGTTAATTATGACATTTGCCATTTCTCCTTATTTATCATAGAATTTTTATTCATTCACGCACCAATGAAAAGCATAAACTGATTGTAATCGTGTCAAAACATTTGAAAAGCAATACTAAGTAATAAATCTTTATTGTAATTTATATTAAGCGGTAAAATGTAAGAAAATTTTAAATACAAATGCTTATTTTGTATTTATATTTTATATATGCAAAGTATGAGTTTATGAAAAATATCGGAACCTTTCTCGTGAAACATAAAATTTTTGTATTTGTTCGACATATCTTATCAGTGACTTATTGAAAATTTTACGTCTATAATGATAAATTATTGTAAATGCTGTTTTATGCTTACCGTGATAATTATCGCTTGATTTGCTGCTGGAATAAAATGTTGCTTACACTTTATATTCCCGGAAATGCTATTAAATTTATAAGCCTTGGGATGTACGACTGTGCCTATTGTCGGTGAACTTAGGCCATAATATTCGACGTCGCAAAATGTCTTTGGCTGCTGTGTACCTGATTCGCGCTCTGTAACAATATTTAAAATTTCGTCGCACGTTTGTTTATTGATAATATTCGTTAATGTAATATGTTTTAATATTTGGCAAATAAAAATTAATTAGAAAGCGCCGTATAACGGACTCGGTTGCTTCACGTAAAAATGTATGTACTATTTGGCGTCGCCGCTTATAAGTTCATTACAAGTTTGGTATTCAAATTCGATTCCATAAGAATGATTTAATAAAGTCCATTTTCAACTGTATTTTGTATTTTCATTGAAACATTGGAATGAAAATTCAGATATTGTGCCTGAAATTGCTTGAATTAATGCCAGAAACAACAAAAATACGAGTATTATCTGTGACACGTTATTCCGTCTTTAAACCATACAAAACCATATATATATATATATATATATATATATATATATATATTGTTAGATTATTGTTTATTATGAATTAATATATAAATTATTCTTAAAATTTTGAATACTGTATATACTTATCATTTATATATTTTTGCCAGCTACATTGACGAAAAACATTGAATTTTTATTCTTTCAAACCGACAACAAGCGTTATTGTATTTGTTGTGCTTTTTACTTAATTATTGATTTATTATCAGAATTTTTTTATTGTATTTTTTTAATGCTTTTTCATATTATCGTCAATGTGAAAACTGTCGTTATTAATTGTAAGACTATTTTATAATTCGGATATTATACATTGAAGCAATCAATGTGTTTATCTTTAATTGATATTATTGTTTTTTCTTACTTTATCCTTTCCTATTTAGTGTGAATTCTATTTGTATTCCTCATTATTTACTTGATTTGTAAAATTTTTTACTATACTCACTATTTGAACAGTTTGTAAAAGAAATTATTGAAGCTGGAAAAAACAAGTGAAATAATATTTATATTAAATGCCAATGGCATGTTAATAAATTCTATAAAATCGATCCTTTTTATTCTATTCAACTCGGAATTTTTACTATACATTTTGTAATAATTCGCTCCTTTAATAATTACGAACATTTTTATTTTACTTTTATATTTTACACGTAATTTTCTTTTATTACAGTTTGCCTATCTAAGCGAGCTTCCCTCGCATTTGAAGCATTTACTTTTCCTATTTCACCTACTTTTTATTTTTCAAGCCAAGTCTTCAGTTTGTCGATGCTGCAAGCGACTATACCAAGTAGGTAAAATTTCCTTCAATTTTCTTTTATTTTACACAGTGACTGAACGCTTATGTACCAATCTTTCTGCATACGTGCACAAAGTTGAATTTCTCGACTTTACAACTTTGCTCTTTGACGCGGCGATAGCCTAAATATTGATTTTTACCTTTAAATTATATCTTAGTTGCAGTAATTTTATTGATGAGAATTTTCTCGCTTTTCACTTAAAAGTAGTTACAGAACGGTAAAAATATTTCATAAAATTACTATTTTATATTATGTCGGAATTTTCGCTTTATTTTGAACTTTATTTACATGAAAATTTACAAAGGAAGAAATTATATTTCATACTTGCTTAAATCTGATATGTGAAATAGACTTCAGACGGAAAAAACTTTAAATTCGAAATTTGAATAATATTTCCATTACTAAAAGTTTCGAATATCGTAATAAAGTGTACATGCACATTCATAATGCAAAATTTATACATTAAACCCGTAGTACAATTTTTATAAAATTACGTTGACGTATTGTGTATTGCTAAAATTAGAGATGGATATCTTCGTTGGGAAAAGTATTCTACCCAATTACCGAATCTAAACGCAATTAATCTCTTTTATCTCGCTTTTACGAAGGTGATGCGTTTGAAATCAAATTATCCTAACGGAAAAAATATCTCTCATTAATATGCATATACGTGTTTGCACCGCTAGTAATAGGAAAAAAAAGCAAAGGAAAGAAACAAAGACAGTATTGTATATATATATATATAATATTGATAATCAAAGCATTATGTCCCCTATTATTAAAAAAAGGAAAAAAAAACACACAAGAAAACAAAAACGAGAAAAAACATATTAACGAAATACATAAAGGAATAAAGAATTTTCATCACTCTTATATACTGACATTCGGAGCACGGTTTTTTTTTATTTTTTTTTTTTTTAATTAAGAGCTTGCGCATGAAAAGAAAAGTCTTTGAAATCACTTGCCCCTGCGGATTCATGAATTCACTTAATCATCGTGACTGCAAATAGACACACGCGCGCGTCATATCTGTAACTTTTCTGCTCGTCAGCTCGTCCCATTCCCGAACGCGTTTCGTTTGTTTTTTTGCCATCCGCCTCGCCATCTTTTTGTTCTTTCACCTACTCGGCTTGATTGGAATTCCTATCACAGACAATCCAGTTTACAAGCTCGTGAAACAAGGATCGTGTTTGAGCTTTGCTTCTCCCTCACTCCCCTTTTCATTAGTTTCGCTTGTCCTTTGTTGATGCGTAAATCGGTTATTATCCCGAATATGAACTATCATAAATCATGGAAAATATAATGAAGGTATGAAAGGTAACTTATATTTCAACTCCCTCGTGAAACTGTTATTGTGAACATTTTTGAAAGGAGCTTAAATAGAATTATAATTATCATTTTATTTGCACAGTCGAGGCACTGATTGATTTAACAATTGCAAATATCAAGCTAATAAGATTTTGCTTCACTACTTTTCATCATCCTAATAGACAGCCATTATTAATTTTAACGGCATAGTCATAAAAAATTTTTTGTTTTTTGTTTTGCCAATTCAATCATTTATTTTTAATCTATTTACGCACATTCGCGGGATTTAAGAGGGAATAATTTACGTATTTCCCGCTTTAAATGCACCTATTTTTTTTTTTTTTTTTTTAATTTATATTTTAATTTAACGTTTGTTAGATTACTAATTAATATATAAAGTAGTTAAGCCTTTACTTTATCTAAACTCCATTGAAAATTGAATTATAATGTTGAGTGCAATATTATAGCACTTGGGTTCTAGAAGTTTGTAAATTTACCGAATGACCATTATGTAATAACCATATACGTCGGCTTATGTTAATTAAATCGCTCCTACAGACTAAATTTTAATATATGAAAATTTTAGAAAACTGGCACTCAAGATATGATTGATAATATTTTAGATGTTTACGTTCATATTGGTATATTGATAATTATAACTATTTTTTTTGTTTAGGATTAAGCAGAAATATTTTATTGTTTAATCGTTGAAAAAAGCCATCGTGTTGAAATAATATATGTCTCTCGTTTCAGACTCTATGACCTCTAAAAAAAAAAAAAAATAATTGCATTTCTAAATATACATATTTATCAGTTTTCATGCGACGAACAATATATTGAAATTAAGAATCCAAATTATTAGAGAAATAAATAGCTCGAACAACGTTTGCTTTATCGTTTGATAAATAACTTGCGCACCATCGCGAAAGAGATAAATTCTTCAAGATTACATCTAATACTGCATCTACACGCACACAAATATGTTTATTATCTTGTCATAATTAGTGTATCCATTACTAAAGTGTTTGGAATATATTCAAATGATTTACGTCGTTAAAGCCAAAGTTATTATCTCAAAGTCTAATAGTTAAAAATCCCAGTTTTGAATCTAAACAATTATTAAAAAAAAAAAAAAAAAAAAAAACTATATTCGACCAATGAAATTTGCTTTTATGCTTGTAAATTAATAATGCCTCCCGAATAAGTCGAGCAACTTAAGTATTGATAAAGCCAGTCGACATCGATAGGAATACAATTATCCAACCAATTTGCTCCAACACATAAGCTGCGCACGGAAATGGGCATATTTAGTTTTTGATGTCGACGGCAGGACTAATGCGCGCGGTATAATTAGTTGACATTAACTGTTTGTGTTTGCTTGCCTAATGGAGCGACGATTGCATAGTGCAAAGCTTCAGGTGCTTGAATTGCAGCCGCGCACGTCGGATTAGGCTGGGATAATCCGTATCAACTAGATTTAGCTTATGCTCTCGCTCGATTTCTCGAAACGAGATTACGCGGGAGGACATTATCTTCGTTTTAAGTAGCTCGCCGATCTTTGCGCTGAAAAGTGTCGGCTACCTTTATTGAGACTGTTGGCCGCAAGGACCTTTGACGAATAATGTAGGGTAATTATGCGGAAGGAATAGCTTATAACAATTGTTGCCGTTGGCAGACTTTTATTCATCGTTATTATATACTCCGAGCAATTCCTCGGACACGTGTCATTAAAATACGTTAGTTAATCCAACTTAATATTACATTAAACGAATGATACGTTAGATTAACGAATAATGCCATAAATTTATAGATTATAAGGTGAATATTTTAATGGATTATGGGTTGAGAATTTGAATTTTAATTGAAATTAAGCATGAAAAACTGTTTTATTTTATAATCATACCATTATAAAAATAAAAAGACACATCCATGAAGTCATTATCACTGGCTCGTGTTAGAACGATTGTCATATTTCTGCTACTAGACGAGTATCTCTTCTTCTCGGGAGCTCTAAAACATTGAAAATTTTATGTGTTAATTAAATAACTGACTTTATAAAAATAGCTGAAATGTTATTATATTAATATATTTTTTATATAAATGTTTATAATAATGATCATAATGACGAAAACGACGGCGGCAACGACGACGACGATGACGACGACGATGATTAATAATAGAATAATAATAGAAATAATAATAACAACCACACAATGATAATAATGCAAAGTGCACATAATTTTCTAAATGTAAATATTCAGAATTTATAATAAATATAAGAGACCTTGGACTGGATATTAATTATAATGTCGAATTAAATTTTAAACCTACTAGATAATGTTTCATAATAGTACGGAAATTTCTTATACATTTCTCTTATATGCTGTATCAATTTTCCATAAAAGTTTCTTCCATATGCCAATTAAGAAATAGTCGCTCTTAGCGTGCAAATTTTTTTTATTTTCAATATTATTAGACATTTCGTAGTGTTGAGTAAAAATTGTTGCTAGCGACTAAGTTAAAAAAAATCAAGAAGATGTCTCGGCTTACAAGTCAGTATAGTTTGACAGGATTTTTTTTTTTTTTTTTTTTTTTTTTTTTTTTGATCGAGCCAAATTCTTCTCAATAAAGCTTTCTTTCATCTCTCCTAATCATTTATACTACGTAAGGGCGGCTAACTGAAATGGAAATCTTGGGACGAAAAGCAGGAATGTAAATAAATTAAATCGCAGCGTGGCCATTGAAGCCGAGAGAGCAATAATCATTGCGCTGACTGGACTAATGTCGTGTAACTCTTTTTGATAATTTCAGGAGGACGTCGACGGCAGCTATCTTTGTTCTATGAGTATGACGGGGCTGCATCGAAGCACACGAGCACCGAATCAACTTGAAAGTTCGCGTGCAGCCTCGGCAATTCCAATTCCCTCTCCCACCCACTGGCATTGGTTCACGAACCCACCACCCCAACTATCCCCAACGCGGCTCCCCGGGAACCCATTATGCGGACGAATTTGCAAATCACTCATCGTTCGCGCCATTGTCTTGCGACTGCGTCGAGCCTAACGTACCACGACGTCGACTGAATTTAGATCGGTTTTGGCCCGGAGACACATAGCGATGGCTCCATAACCGTTCTCGATCTACTTGTAATCGTCTGTGTTGAGTTTTCGAGGGATGGGATGGTCGTTTGTCGTGTCGCTTATGACTCGGGTATTCTTTGTCAGCTGGCTTCGTTGAAAAATTCATACTTTCATGTTAACGCAGTTCCTTCGAATAAATTAAAATTGTTAACGAGTCGTTGCGTAGCGGAAGAAAATTCTCGCCATTTGCATTATGTAGGTGTAACGCACATTAAACACAAGTTTAATTAATTACTTAAAATTAAATCTCAGCTAGTGAAATTGAATTCTATGACTATTAACGATAAGGGATCAACATAAATACAATTCTCCACCTTAACACTGTAAGATTTACATAATAATATTTAATTATTGTAATTTCTACGTTCAATAGTACGTTATAATAAGCAATTAATTTTCACTTTTAAAACCAAAAATCATCCACTTATTTCATTTATACGATGGATCTAATGCTAAATTAACTTTTTTTTTATTAAATAGGATAATTTAATACGCATTGTTAATAAATGTATTTGAAAAACAAATACAACGAAATACTTACTAATCACGCGCATCATGAACCTTTTAAGTATTTTAATATTCTTCTTTACGTATTATTCTACATAGTTCGACTGGCTGTTTTATAATTACTTCTTCCATTAATTATAGTTTCCTTCTTTAACGATATACAATTTCTATTTGGGTCTTAAGTTTTAATAACTATAGTTGTGCGAATCTACTTAAAAGTAATAATAACTCATGTTCTTTATTGTACTATAAAGGTCTTTCATATAACTTAAATAGAAAATTCTTGTTTTCTTGTAACTGCGTTTAACTAAATTTATGATTAACTCAACTTTATAATAAATTGTGAATCAACGAGGTTAAAGGATTAAAAAAAAAAAACCAATTAAAATTACTCGTCATCACCAATAGAATATTACTTCTAAAATTATCAATTTTTTCAACATTAATATTATATTTGAGCATAATTATTTTCCAAAAAGTGTCTTTTTTATTATGCGAGATTTGTATGAAAACTGTGTTATTAACAATGTACGAGTTTTATTTATATGGTATGTTCAAGTAATAACAAGTGGCGATAAATTACTTATTTATATTATATTAAATTCATAAAATTTTAATTTATAAATTCAGTTGGGCAACATAGATTATCACACATCCTTATTATGCAGCAAGCATAAATCTTGCAGATTAAAAATATCTTTTAAATATTTTTGAGAAAGTTTTGAGAAATCGGGAGAAGTGGATTGCAGTAACCGGATGTTTTGGTGGTTGGTATACTACCAACGACTCCGCATGCGTTTCGGCTTGGCCGCACCATTTCCGCAGTGAAGCCGAGACCAAGTTCGTGCGGTTTGTAATGCAAAGAAAACGTTGATCACGGTTTTGGAACAATATGCTTTCACAATACCTTCCTCTTCTGGCTAATGTATCTATATATACTTATATGAATTGTTTTTTTTTTAATCTTCCTTTAGAAATATTATAAATTTTCATTATATTATATTAAATAAAATTGTTTATCAATAATAAGAATTATTATAAAAATAAAAGCTCTATAATCTGTTTTTAAATAAATTATATCACCAGCTTTATTATATGCTGATCTTTATAAGATAGTTTTATACAAAGTGTTCTTTTTTTAATTATAATAAAATAACATATAAATAAGTTTTTAATTTTTGAAATTTTGTTACTATTATAAAAATGGCACAAAAACAAAGGAAAACTAATATATTAACACTGATAATTGTATTCATTTGAAACATATATATATATATATATATATATATCGCTCTCTCTCTCTCTATTGTCTGCCGAATTCATAACGAGAATAATTTCCATTACTATGTTTAAACCGTTTATTGAAGTTTAATCGAAATGTAATGTAGAAATTTCGGTACAATCGAAGCAGCCGTACTAAATTTAATTATCTTCTTCGTATTTATTTTGTGCTTCGAAGTTGGCTTTTCTCTTCGTAGCTTCGATAGGAAATTCGATTTGGCCTTAGTAATGGAAATGGAATACAGAAGTAACTCTCCGCATAATAAGCGATATATGTATTTTTTCAAGTAATTAGGTAATTGTTTTATTTTCCTACATTGTTGAAAATCCTGAAGTGATGAAAAAGATAGTGCATTGAGTTGTATCTTGACGAATTGAAGTAAGCGACAAATATTCATAAAATTAACAAAATTCTGGAAATATTAGATTTCTGCTCTAACGTTTTCTGTTAATATAATATAAATTAGTATATGCGCCAAAGTTTTTTCTGTGTTATTTAAATGTATATCGCTGTAACTTGATTTGTCTTATTGTCCATATAAAACTAGCATAGCAAATTGTTCACACACACACACACACACACACACACATACAGAGACAGAGAGAGAGAGAGAGAGAGAGAGAGAGAGAGGTGCGCACATGTCACTTATTGAAGTAATCAATGTATGGGAAAAGACGGTTTACATCAATTTTATATATAAAAAAAAAATTCGCTGCACAATATATGAGGATAAATAATTATTTACCAATGGATGCTTGAATGGCGTAAGCTGAGACAACAGATTCAGCGAATTATTTGGAAGCAATTTTGGACATGTTGGTTGTGCATCAGAAATGTTGCTGACAAAGCGCTAGTGAAAATCAATACGGTGATTCTATCCATGGCAAATATGGTCGGTTCTGTGCCAATTAAGACGCTAATGCCCAGATATGCATTCAATTTTCTCTTTTACGAAGTAATCTTAAAATGATCTGGATTGGGTAAGAATGGGAGGAGACGAATAACTATTAAAAAATTCGACACTATATAAGATAAGAATTTATGTATTATAAATAAATTATAACGTATTGCCAAGGTAAATCGTTAGTGTTTCATGCGGTTTCGTTTCTCTATATTTACTGTAAAAGCGATTAATTTTAAAGATGGACGGGACGATAATATGGATAGCCGGAAATTTTATATTATTCGCTAATCTAAGGATTTAATTATATATATATATATATATTATTTTATTATAAAAAATTTTCAAATAATAAAATTTTTTTTAACATATAACGGGACAGTTAACGATAAATATTATTAATACAGATATAATAGCGTAAAACCTAAAGTTTCTCGTAAAAATTGGAGACCGAGCAAAGATGAAAGTTTACGAAAAGTTTCAGAAAGTGACTAAATTAAGTTTAATGGTATTTAATATTTAGTTGATTTAATGTCACGAAATTAGAATGATAAAATGATGATTAAATATTTTCAATGATAAAGTATGGATCGGAAAAAAGAAAGAAGGATCGTTGATCGATTGAATGAAGTCGAGAAGTAAAAAAACAGGATAAGATTAAAATTAATCTACCGTTGACGTGATTTTACATTACTAGTATTGGCAATCATAAGAACTCCAATACTGACAAACATGTTATACATGTATTTACATGAATGGAAATAAATAACATTCTTAACCAAATCAATTACCTACTACTCATGTATTATATATCAATGGATATTATAACTTCAATTATATGATCCAGACTACTTTTATAATTTTTAGCAATTAGTAGTAGATTTAAAAAACCAATGAATAAATATATTTGTATTTTTTAAATTAATTTTATTAAAACAAACTATCGTAAAGTATAATTAGTTTGATCTTTAACATACATTATGTTAATTTTTCAAACTGATTTTGAGAATCAAACATTTATTAATATTGCATCGAGTATTTTAACGAAGAAATAAAATTATTCTTAAACTGCAAGTTTGTAATTGCATATTAAACTGCATAATGAATAATATAAGAATAATTATGCAATATTTTTTCTACTGTAATCACGACGAAAGATAGATGTTTATACTCAAACAAT